GAAAGAGTGAATATACCTACTCCTCCTTTCCATGCTTGTTAACTGATTCATAGATATCCTTTGGTACTATCTGTAATTTAGCTGTACTAAGAAATAAATCACAGCGTTGCAGAGCTGAAACAGAGCTGAAATCCCCCAGGTTCAGTTGATCAGTTTGAGTATCCATAAGAACCACATCCAGAAGACAAATAAAATAATTTACTGCATCTTCACAACTCTGAGGTATTTCATGGCATGACACTATAATATTCTGGTATTTCATAACTCATTCCTAAAATCTAAGAATGACCCCTATGCGCTACAAAGGAACAGACAGGAAGGACAAACAGCAATCTTGAAACAGCATTTACAACGTGGAGATTGCTGGGCTGAACAAACTTCCTGTGATGTGGAAATCGCTACATTGGCACAATTCTTGTATGGAAAAAGCACTGGTTTTGCATATTGCTGACAAACCAGAACAAGGCAAGAATTCTATACAGTCACGTTAGTAACCAAAGACCTGCTTCTTGATGCCAGCTCTCTTACGCATTCATGTGATGAAAGATACCTCTCAGTAGATTTAACACCAAACAGACTTTCAAGTAGCTACAAGATAGGAAATTGGGTTTGCCTCTGTCTGCCTATTATTTACACCTTTCTGCCAGTTTTCTACCAGTCAGGACTATTTCAGGGTGGGGGTGGTGTGGTTTTATGTGGTTTTTCACCATACAGAGCTAAAAAGGGCCTTGGAACACTCTCTCACTTGTTTCTTTGCCTATTTGTGCACCAATGCTCCAAGTCTTACTACTTTGCTGTTCCCCTCTTTGAATGGGGATATTTGTTCATGACACGGTAAAATCTGAATACATTTTTTTCAGCATCAACAATAAATTTTCTTCCTTAGAAATCCAGCTTGCAAACTGAGTATATAATGATGACATTTTCCTTAGAGTATTATGTAAGGATAGAAGCATATGAACAGTTTTCTTTAGTTCCAAGCCATTTGAGTTCTGTCGAAGTTCTCTTAACGTTACTGAAACGTTTTTTTACTCTCCCCAGACCCGAACTTGCCAGGTATGAAAGGAGGAAAGCTTGTTATCTATCCTTTTATGAAAGTACTAGGAGATGACATAAACCAAGATGTCTACTTGAAAGCTCCATCAGGTTAACACATGCAAGTGGCAAACAAGATCTGGTTATCAGAACAGAGGAAAAGCAACATCCAGAAGACCCTTCAGATTTCCACTGTGATACCATAGCTCAGCTTGGCAGTCAGGTAAAAGGAAATGAAACTCAGTCCTGCAGGACAGTTAAACTGCTTACTTACCGGCAGCGGTAGTTTTTTTGCCACTAAACTTCATCACCCAGTCAAAGGGGCTAAATGACAGATCTGAATCAAACTTCCAGGCCTGTCCTGGTCTGCAGAATACTGCTGTTCAAGAACACACTCTACTCCTAGCAGTCTCCTCTAAGTACAACAGACACGCATTCCACCTACCGCTACGTTTCAGCTCTGTCAGGTGAACCAACACTACCACCACTAGCTCCAGAGTGAGCGAGGCTTCATCCAGGTAAAGTAACTTGCCTACCTCTAGTCTCAGGGACTGGCTGTTCATCTTCTCTCTGCCGTAGTGCGCCTACCTGTGTCAAAGGGCTATCCAGCTGTCTGATAGCCTAGAAGGCTGGGGGGGTACTTCCTGGGTGGGAAAGAAAAAACAAACCACTAGGAAAAAGTAATTGGAAATGCCAAGAGGTGTCAGAGGAGAAATGATCTAATCCCAGGACAAGAAACAGAAAATACGGGCTTCAAGAAGCAACAGCTGTACAAACCAGAGAGCATGAGTGCTTCTTTAGAGTTATTCGAGGTGTAAGGAAAAGGTTAGGTACTACTCATCTACAGCAAAAACACGCAGGAGCAAACAGCAGTCACATTCAGCAAGACAAGCAGGCTTTTGTCATCTAAGTGCTTTTCTCATATAATACCTACCTAGCACATCAATTCTGTGGCTAAAGCTTTTGAAGCTGTGTTTCTCATGTTTAGAGTTTAACACTTCTAAGCTTACTGTGCCT